ATTATTATTATAATTTAAAGTTCAAAGGACTAAATATGCCGAAGCATTTGTATCTTTTAAATTCGGACTTGTACTGCCCATTTGGTCCACAATTAATTGGAAATCGGATAAAGATAGATATGGAAGCTATATCCAAATCTGAACCGATCTCGATAAAATTTAGCAAAGATATTTCTGAGCTGTATTTCACATATTTCCCTGAATATCGTTGTTACAGAGTGCATATTACGGCTGTGGGTAACAAATATAACAAATCGGATGAACAATATATATGGGAGCTATGGCTATATCTGAACCGATCTTAAAGTAAATCGGATGAACAATATATATGAGAGCTATATCCAAATCTGAACCGATCTCGATAAATTTTATCAAAAGTTTTTCCGAGCTGTATTTGATATATTTCACCAAATATTGTTGTTACAGAGTGCATATTACGGCTGCGGATGACAAAAATAACAAATCGGATGAACAATATATATGGGAGCTATACCTATATCTGAGCCGATTTCGATAAAATTTTCTTTATTTCTTATTCTTATTTTCAATTCAAATTTGGTTGTGTGTGCAAAATTCCATACTATTCGGACTGATATTACACGTTTGGTGCACAATAAAAGGCAAATCGGACGAAGATATATATGAGAAATATATCTAAATTTTTACCGATTACCTCCAATTTCAATAGGGTTCGTCCTTAGGCCAAACAAATGATTTGTGCAAAATTTCATCTGGATCGGGCAATAAATGCGAACTGTACCTTGTTTACAAAAATATATGGACAGACGGGCGGACATGCAGAAATCGACACAGGATGTGAATCTATGCAGATCATCAAAATGAACTTTGGGTCTATCTCGTTTCCTTCTGTCTGTTACAAACAAATGCACAAAGACGTGATGGAATTCAAGCGTAATAGTGTGATTTCTTTACATTTGGCTGGAAAACCAAAAGTGGCTATCGTTTATAGAAACCCGCGTCGCAGTGGCCGAAAAATGGCTCGTGAGCTGAACATAGCGCAACAGTCCATTCGCCAATATTGAAAATAGAGCTCGGGGTAAAGCCATTAAAATTCCAAAAAGTGCAAGAACTTGCACCGAAACATAAAGAAAATAGACTCAAAAGAGCTAAAAAGTTACTTCGCTTGGCCGAAAGTGGTGAACTGCCGAATTTGGTTTTCTCCGATGAGCAAACATTCATTGTCCAGTAGTTTGTAAACAAACAAAATGATCATTTACTTGCCAAAGAGGTCAGCTGAAAGTGGCCACCAAAACTCAAGCGCTGGCCATGGTGATGGTGTGGGCCGCCATAAAAGCCGATGGTCGCTCTCCGCTCGTATTAATCGACCGTGGTATCAGAAGAAATGCCGAATATTATCGCGAAAATATTTTGGAGGGTGTATTAAAGCCTTGGGCACGAAAACATTTTGACCGTGGACCTTGGACATTCCAAGAGGACTCCACACCATCGCACTCAGCACGCGCCACCCAAGAATGGTTACAAAATGAGGATCCTCGCTTCATTTCCAGTGCATAATGGCCACCGAAATCTCCGTATACCAATCCGCTGGACTATTGTGTCTGGAGTATATTGGAATGTAAGGTTGACACTATAAAATACCAAAGTGTCAATCACCTCAAGAAAGCGCATCGCCGGGAATGGGTCAAAATACCACAGAGCAACATAGGGCAGCGTGTGTGTGGTTTCATTGGCCTTTTTTATATCTTATCCTCTTCTGAAATGATATTATTATTATTATCCAACAAATACATGAAATTTATACAAACAGGTTTTTTCGTTGTCGCTTTATACTACCCACATCATATAAGAATTCAAGAAGACGCTACAAATGTACATCGGAAAATAGTAAGTCAAAATGAAAAAAAACATGCAATATAAAACATTACAATTGTACATTCCAATAGTCAAATTTTAAAGATTTATTTTAAATTTTTGCGATTGCAATAGACGGATAGATTAAAGGTCGGTGGGGGATGGACGGACAAACAGAGTTGAATCGGCAACAATTTTTTTCTGGTCAAGAATACCATTTTTTTTGATGTTTCAAATTGATGACAGAACAGAAATGTAGGCCCATTTTTGGTGGAGCTGTTTATATCCTCACAATACGAATTCAAAATATCAGCCCATTTGCACAGTTGGAAGAAGCGATAGAGCACCATGGGATTTATCCCATATCGAAAAGTGAACCAACTTCTTTCGTAATCAAACTTCCAAACTGAAATACAGTAAAATACCGTGGGTTATACGGCATAGTTATTAAGTATTAAACGACTATTTCCAGAAATGATTTTCTATAATGAAAACTTTAAATGGTAAATTAGGACTCACTGGTCGAAGAATGTTAGGAGATAACATTTTATGAGATCTATACATAAACGAGGACCAATATAATCACATTTAATATCAATCTTTCAATGAATAATATAGAAGTTTTTACTCTGATCAAGAACAGAAACTTTTGTGTGAAATTGTTTCAGAATGGCTTTTCGAATGGAGTAATTGAGTATTCTTAGTGGTAAACTCGTTAAGATCCGATAAAAACTGATAAGACCGATAAAAACAGAACAGATCACTTATGGCGAAAATTCGCCCCAATTCAGAATGGTCTATTGGCAGAAAAGGATAAAATACATGTAAACTTAAAATATGCCATTAAAAGTGTCAATAATCTTGTTACATTTTGTCTTATATTATTTAGAATTATACATTTTGCAATACTACTTACGTATTTAAATTCATATTAAAAAAGAGTTCCAAACCAAAATAGTGCACAATAAGGATTTCAATCCTTACACTATCAACGCATTTGTATATATTAAAAGTTTTGTATGGCAAAATTTCATAAGAAACGAAAACACTGCTGGACTGACTTTAACGATTCATGCAACTTCGGAATTGTCTCTTGGCCGAAAAGGATAAAATTTAAAAAAATCGCATAAAAATGTGGTATATTAACATTTTTATTTTGACTTTTGAAATGTGCAATCGCAATGTTTTATTTTGCATTTTTTTTTTTCATGTGATATATTGTATGTACAATCGTAATGTTTTATTTTGCATGTTTTTCTTTTCATTTCACTTACTTTTTTCGAATGTATATTTGTATTTTTTTTATATTTTATTCTTGAATTCAAATACTAATACCAATTTATTGGATTGACTCAATTTTTTTGGGAACCGAAATTGAAGGCGGGTTACATTGAGGTGTAGTATGGAATTATGTGGTGACGAAACTGAATAAATGATGTCGAAATAATTGAACGCGGTCACGCCAAAGTTAAAGGATAATTACTTTTTCAAAATCGCTAAAAAATAAAGTATCATTGCAGAAATTCTAAAATCGGCAAAAAATACGTTTAATGGAATCTAATTTCAAAATAGTAGTACATTTTGTTGACAAACTTCGTAAGGACCATAGGAATCATATTGAATTCAATCGTTTTCTTGGGAACAAAATAAAGAATTATTTTCACCATATAAATGAAAGTTATATTAGTTACTACGCTTAAAACCAAAACTCAAAATGCAAAATTCATTGGGACTGCAATCAGTGAAATATCGAATATAAATGGTGCAAAAAATTGCGAATTGGACATTTAGTAAGAAGAGGATTAGTAAAAAAGGATCCTTCCATAAATTCTTCCTAAACATTCAGGATACCTTAAATAGACTTTGCAGGTCATGATATGGGTCATAACCCCGATTTCAAGTATATTTTACATTTTAACCATATTTTTTTCATACTAATTTTGGCAAATGTTGGCAATATAAGAATAAACCATCCTTGCAAAAAATGATCACTTTTTGGTGTAACCATCATTTTCGGGATATTGGCGATTTTTTTCATTTTTTGCCCCTTAATTGGCATATTTTTTTCTATGGGGGTAGAAAACCTCTTCTCATAAAATTTTCAATTTTCGGAGTAGGGTCCATCTTGGTCTTGACCACTTTCATCAATCAAAAAAGTTGTATGAAGGCTACTCTGGGGTAGAGAATCGTCTTACAGGTAATTGTCAACAATGGCAATTAACAAGTCCACTTTCCCAACCAATGTGTGGTCAGAAAAGAAAATTTTTTTGTATGTATGTAGATTTGGGATGTATAGTGGCAGAAGCAAGAAAAAAATTACGAATATTAGAATGTAGAAAAAATCCACGTTTATTGGTCTAAAGGTCCTTGGAAAAAAATCTTTAAAAAATCCACGTTTATTGGTCTAAAGGTCCTTACAAAAAATTCTTTAAAAAATCTACGTTTATTGGTCTAAAGGTCCTTACAAAAAATTCTTTTAAAAAATCCACGTTTATTGGTCTAAAGGTCCTTACAAAAAATTCTTTAAAAAATCCACGTTTATTGGTTATATATATATATATATATATATATATATATATATATATATATATATATATATATATATATATATATATATATATATATATTCTACCCCTAATTATGAGGAATTTTCCGTATTTTCAATTTTTCCATACAATAAAATTTTCAAAATTACAATACAATTTTCTTTGTAAAATTTCTCTTAATCTTAACAATGAAGGCCAACAATTTGTTTTGCTAAAGGTTATACATACATATATCTACAATCACCCACTTTTGAATAACTGTTGTAATTGCAGACGATATCCATTAACAATTCAGAAAGATTGCTACAAATGTTTCACCTATTATCTGAAACACAATTTAAAATTTAGGTGATTGCAGTTATATATTACTAAGGAAGTAGGTCTTACATTGGACGAGCCACAACATCGTTTATTGCCAAATTTCTTTCAGATTCATTGTCTGAACTGTTCTCTGCAAAACATAAACAAAAATTAAATTAATTATGAAAAATTACCTTCAAATTTTTGTCCCAATTAACGTCAATGCTGTTGTGTTCGTTGTATTAAAAATTTGCTAAACTTATAGTTAATTACCTCCAATGAGTCTTTATTGTAAACACGTATATGTTTGTATCTTTTTAGGAGTCTCGAGGCAAGAGACCTTTAAAAATTTGGGATAGTTGGCGAAATGTACGGAAGGGTGTTGTCGTTGGCACATTTGAAGAATTGCTAGTTAGAGGTAAGTAAAAATAATGAAAAAATGTTAAAATCTTAAGAATACTAAGTGTAGCCGTCATATTAGGGTTTAAAAGACGACGTATCTGTATAAGCAACTTTTGTCATAAGCGAAAATCGATGAATAATGTAGCTAAAATCTTCAATATAGGGAGGGGGCTATGTGGACCTACATGGCCCATTTTCAATACCAAAAGTCCTGCAGACATAATATACATTTGAGTAAAATTTTATTAACTTATTTCGTTCAGAAGCTAGAGTGATTTCCACAGACAGACATCGCCAAATCGACATAGAATTTTATGATGATCAAGAATATATGTACTTCGTTGGGTTTAAAATGTATATTTCGAGGTGTTAAAAACGGAATGACAAACTTAATATACCCTCCATACTATGGTGGAGGGTATAATAATAAAAAGCAAACATAATAATTAATCGATGATTTTTTCTATCGAAGTACACAGTTTTGCTCCGCTTAGGTAATATTAATAAATTAATTTAAATTCTACAAATTAAATTGATAAATGCAGTAGTTTGTGGCACAATCACGGAATTTTCTACAGCCGTAATATATGACAAGTAGGAATCATTACCCAATTTCATTGAAAAAAGAATATTTTATGTTAAAAAAATATATAATGCATACGAATTTTCTTCCCAAAAGAATTCATTGATTTAGGGTAGTCCAAACATTACGCACCTCTATACACACATGGGTGTGTGGAAATTAGTAGATCTAATCCTTCGAGTCGAACCCGTAACGAAAGCAGTAAAAAACGATATCAAAAAGTTAAGTATGACCAGAGTTCGTTTATCAAAACACAAAAAAAAAATATATATATATATATATATATATATATATATATATATATATATTCAAGTGGGCATAAATGAGTGGGCAATGCCAAAACGGGATAATGTTTCGCCATACGAGCTTGAACCCATTTCGACCAACAAATATGAATCGTAAGTCCGAATATCGGAAGGTACCGTTGTATGGGATCTGTACCAAAACGTGGACCTATAAATATAATGTTTCGCCACACGAGCTAGAACCCTTAATACACTACAAATACCAATTTTTAGACAAATCCGTGAAAAAATGTGGCGAAAATCATCAAAATACCGAATATCGGTAGGTACCGTTATATAGCGGCTATACCAAAATGGAATAAGGTGTAACAAACGGAATGAAAAGTTTATATACCCTTCTTTTAAAGGTGGAGGGTATAAAAAGGATCAAATCTGAAGTTATAATAATTTGTATTTAACCATTAAATTGAAAATTTTAATTTTCCGCGGAAAAATTTGAAACAATAAATACCGAATGTCGGTGGGTATTGAGATATGTGCGCTTTAGGAAAACGTGGAACTAAATATTTAATGTTCTGCCGCCGGGCCCATTATACATATAATGTTTCGCCATACGAGCTTGAACCCATTTCGACCAACAAATATGAATCGTAAGTCCGAATATCGGAAGGTACCGTTGTATGGGATCTGTACCAAAACGTGGACCTATAAATATAATGTTTCGCCACACGAGCTAGAACCTTAATACCCTACAAATACCAATTTTTAGACAAATCCGTGAAAAAATGTGGCGAAAATCATCAAAATACCGAATATCGGTAGGTACCGTTATATAGCGGCTATACCAAAATGGAATAAGGTGTAACAAACGGAATGAAAAGTTAATATACCCTTCTTTTAAAGGTGGAGGGTATAAAAAGGATCAAATCTGAAGTTATAATAATTTGTATTTAACCATTAAATTGAAAATTTTAATTTTCCGCGGAAAAGGGCATTTTTGTGGTTGCGTTGTAATGGATTAGGGATAATTTACCTACTATTTTGTGGTACCAAATAATCAATTAATGTAGGTGTAAAAGACTAAATATTTTACAAAGTATGGTTGAGTGTTTAAAATCGGTTTTGTGATTTCGGTGTAAAAAAAACCAAACCACAGGTACTGATGTTCTGTCTTTCAATTCTTATCAAACGTTCGGTGAATAATTACCAAAATGGCGCGACCTAATATATTATTCTTTTAGATATGTTCAATACAAAATTTGGAAATTTGTAATAAAAAATTGGAAGTGTATATCCGGAAATATAGGAAGACATTTAAAGAGACCACATCTTGAGCAATATGCAAACTATATCGAACAAAAACGTGCAATGAAAATACAAAATTGTGTAAAAGCTAATTGAATTTTTAATTACCAGTTGGAATCAGATTAAAGTTCTTATTGGTGCAGTTATATTTTTAATTTATTACATTTTCTTTATTTTTTATTTTCTATTCATACTATGTTTATTATATTTAACTCGCTTAATTAATTAAATTTGTATTTTAAAAAATACACTTATGTAATATCGAATTTTGTATAATTTAACAAAGTCGGAGAGGATGTTCGATTACACAATGTTGATTCACTTAATAATGCATATAAATATTAAATTTACAATCTTTAATTTCTTTCATTAAAAACATTTTATTCATTATCAATGCTATTATACCCAAAAATCAAATATCTAATATTTTTTCTGATTGCGGAATACCACGTTTTTTTAGTGCTCCGAATCCGATACACTCGATTTTTTAGTGCTCCGACTGCGGTACACCGTGATTTTTTAGCGCTCCGACTGCGGTACACAATGATCATCGTTGTGTTCCGGTGCAGTATCACTAAAATATTTGTAGTGGTAGCGTATCGGTACAATGCCGCAAACAAAAATTAGTGGTTTGGTCCGGTACAGTACACTGTGTTTGTGTACTGTTTATTTTCAAACGCTGTTCCGGGATGAGAAAGCGATATCAAACGCGATGATTTAGGAGTGACTTGTAAGTGATTTGTGGGATATTTTTGGTTTGCAGGGCGACATGTCGTTTTTTGTGTCAAATTACAAGACCTGGATTATATTAGAAATCGCGAAGAACCCCTTTAATACAAAAAATATTTGTATTTTGCGTTTCATTCATGTCGTAATAACAGGAAATGTCGTTGTATTTTGTCGTCGTTATGCGTGTGTCATTTTTCGTTTCATTATTGTTGTTATTTTTGGTAGAATATATTTGTGTGACCCACTATTCAACATTTTTGTCCATTGGAATTGGAAGGCGGAACGAAGTGTTTAACCTAAGTTAGGTTTTATGGAAACAAAAATCGGCCATGCCTACTTTTACGCCCACTTTTTAAATTGTTCTAAAATATGTTTGCCAAAATAATAAAGATATCGGTTTGAAATTTACTATACGATATATTCTTGACTATTTCTCCAACCCGTAGTATTTATTTAAGCGTCTACGTTTTTAAATCTATCTTTTCTATACATAACGCTAACTGAAGAACGGATGGGCGGATTTTGACGATTCACACCAATTCAAATTGTTTTTTTTACAGAAAAGGATTAAACCCAAAAAATCACGGAAGTGAAATGCCCTTCTTTGGTAATTTAATCAGTTGAGAACTAGACTTGTATTTTTTGGAAGTGATCTGTTTACACCAACTTAGGTTTTTATGGGAACAAAAATTGACCACACCCACTTGCAAGCATGATTTTTTAATTTATCTAATGTCGTTATATCTATCAAAATAATGAAGACATCGGTTTGGCACTTAGAATACAAGATGGTATTGAATATCTTTCCAACCCTTTTTTATTTATTTGGGGTGGAGAAACTGGTCCCACCTATTTCCTTCCGATCCACGTTGCTGGCTCCTATCTTCCTTTGGTTATAAGCGTGTAACTTACATGCGCATTTTCGCGTTTTTATCTAAGAAAAAATTTTCAATTTTTCCATTCGGAAATGCATTCTGGAACAATTCCACACAAAACTCCATATCAAAAAGCTTCTTTGATGAGTTGTTATACCTTTTACTACACCAATTTTATATATACAAGTGAACGGTTTTCCTAGGGCTTACTAACCCGGTCCGCGTTTCTGACCCGTCGTTTTAGTTTCGTATGATAACTTTTTATTCTTATTAGAGCTTTTTATTATACGATATGTCAGTTTGAAAGACCTATCCCAAAGACATATAATATATATAGATGGGATGTTTCATTGTTGCTTTGATTCTATAAATGGCGTTGGTAGTAGAAAAAATATTTTATGTCACCATATCGTGACACCGCATTCTGCGACAGCTGACAGCTGGTTTCGCTGATTTTATAAATGTAATATAAAAGGACATGCTCTTGAATAGATTTTTGATCCCATATGTATCATTTCTGATGTTTTTCTTTGTGGGTTTCCGTATTTTTTTTTTTTTTGCGATTTGGGATTAACATATTTCTGTAATATTTCTAATGAATTTTTGTTATGTGGTTTGTCCAATCTTTATAGTTTTATGTGTTTGCATATACTTCGCACAAGAATAATGGCTTGCAACTGACGTCAATCTAATAGTTGTTGTACACTTTTCTATCCATTTCTCTCAAGCGCACAATATTTTTATTTTTTCAATCCAATTCAGTTTTATTCCATATAATTTGAGCAAAATGTTTATAAACGGACCCAATCACCTGTAAGGCTTTGTAGGGGTGATATAAAATTAAAGATACATTAAATAAATATACCAGGGTTTCAAAAGCTAACGCCAAATTAGAAATATCACCGAAAATATTCAGCGTTACATGTTAAAAATAGGCCAACAAGTATTAACACATTAATAAAACAATTTAAAAAGCAGTAAGTTCGGCCGGGCCGAATTTTGAATACCCTCCATCATTTGGAACGAATTTGGCAATTTTCAAAAAAAAAATCTGTTAAAAATTTTGTTAAAATCGGTATTTACGACATGGACCTACATATGCTTCGTTTGCCATAAGCCATTACCATATTCAAATTCGAAACTTGAAATAAACGATAAATAATGTAGCTAAAATCATCAGAACACCGTATGTTGGTGGTTAGGTTATATCGGAGCTATATGAAGACCTGGACCTGCACAGACAATTTTCTGTCACAGGCTGTGGTTCCTATTACAAACT